AAATAAATAAATAAATAAATAAATAAATAAATAAATAAAAGTTGACTAGGCAGTACCCAGACAGGAAGTGTAGGCAACATAGAAATTAGCTCAGAAGAATTTATCCTATACACTGTGAGAACTTGTTGCTCTCATTATTAGTAAAAAGTTGACTAGGCAGTACCCAGACAGGAAGTGTAGGCAGGACAACCAAACTAGGAGGATGCTGGGGAAGAAAGGGCTGAGTCATGGGAGACTCAGAGTTCATGAGCAGATGCAGGGAGAAGCAAAATAAACATGCTATACTGAGAAAACATACCAAGACACGTGACAAAACATAAATAAGAAATATGAGTTAATTTAAATGTAAGGGTTTGCTAGTAACCCTTAGTAATTGATAGCCCGAAATATCAGCTGAGCATTTGTAATTAATATAAGCCTCAGAGTGGTTCTTTGTGAAACGGCTGCTGGGACACAAAGAAACTCCACCCACGGAGGTAGAGAAACAATTATCTGAAAAACAAAACAACCAATTTCAATAAAGAACAGGGGTTGTAATGTAAAATGAAATTTTAAAATTAGAGATATTGATACAGATATATTGAGGAAGAATGATACAGGTTGGTTGCCAGGCTGGTTTGCAGATCTGAGTTCCAGGCTACACAAGGCTGGAATAGTGAGACAGTCTCCAGAAACCAAAGGAGAGGGAAATATCTTAAGTGAAAATCCAGTGACCACCTCTCATTCCTTCTACCATTGTCTACAAATTCATTCCATCTATTCTCCACTGCCTATTCTGAGCCTATGTACACATTCATTCTTTTTTGAGCTTACACAAAGTCAAAATCATTTAGTCTTTAAAAATCATAAATCTGACAAGCTGACAGTATAAATTAAGAAAATACTACACATATTATTGTCATAAGTCAATCTGCATAAAAGATCTGTGTGTTCAAAAAGCTAAAAGGGTCATGGAAAACACTTTATAACTCCTTTAGTCTTGATTTCCCCAAGACTCAGTTCCCTGCCTTTATTTTTTAGGTCATCCACTCTGATCTAACTCCCTGTTACCTTTTCAGCCTTAACATTTGTTACTTCTTCTGGTCAATACTTATATTTACACTGAAGTTTTCCTATGCTCATAAATGTACAACAGCCTAAAAGTTATGCCCATTTAGTTTTTAGGAACTAAGGCCATTGTAAAAATCGACAGTTTTAATATTTGCATTTCTGGCATTGGGGTATTTTTTTCTCTTTTTATTGCTTCTATTGAGCTATACATTTTTCTTCACTTCCCTTCCTTGCTCCCCTTTCCATGACCCCCATGCTCCCAATTTACTTAGGAGATTTGTCTTTTTCACCTTCTTTGAAAATTTTTAAGTTACAATAGGCAAGTCAAATCATAAAACAAAGTGAGGCCACAATGACTAAGTATAGTATAGTGCCCCTAATAAGTTAGAAATCCCGTAGAGAACTTGGTGAGGAAGAAAAATGTAAATCATGGGACTACTGCTACTGTATAATGAAACAGAAAACTGAAATACCAGGAATTACAGATATTGTTATTTATTCCAGAATGTCACTAAACAAATGGAAACCATGCCATCCAATTATCTAATCAGTCTGATTTGTCTTTCATGTCTGTATTGCTTAATAAATTCCCAAAGAATTTTAAAATGGAAAAAAAAATTGGATTAATGGTCAGATAACATCTCTTTACAAAACTAAAATATAACACACAATTAGGCTTCTTTCTTTAAATTACATTTTTCTTCCACTAACGGTTAGTATTATACCATTTCTATGTTGTTGAAAATGTTGTTTCATGCATGTAGTTGTCCACTTGCAGACTCAAAAGACTTGGAATGCCTACTGGGCACAGTGCTCTAGCACTGGAGATACAGCATTATGCAAACATTTACGAACCACAGCCTTCCTGAAACCTTCATGTTTCCACGTCTCCACGTGCCAGTGGATACATTATCCACCCAATACATTTCTTGTCTGTATAAGCTGGGTGTGCACTGAGACAACAAAGGGTGACACATCTGGGTAAGGATTGTCTCGATGCTTGCCCCAACTGCAGCCACTATTGCTAAGACGAAACTCTCAATCGTTGAGCTGAACACAGAAAGGAAAGTAGTGTTTATTCCCTCTGCTGCCTGCCACTTGGATTTTATGTTAACAGACACCGACTAAAAACAAACTAAGAAATTAATCTCTGTTACAAAGGTCTTACTTTCTCAAAGGCTACAAGACAATTTCCCTTCTTTATATCTCAGTAGTAGTTTTCCTTTCAAAGCTATGTGTACAAATATTTTCTTCACTGGATGTTGTATGACACACTAACCTGAACACAAAGAAATAGTGACAGAGTCAAATACTATTTACTAACAATAAAGCAGATCTGTAATCTAGTGTTAACTAGGGAATATTACCTAAAGCACAGAAAATATATATAGCTATGGTCTCAAACATCCATAGCCAGGACTGGAATTGTACTGTCAGTCATTAAGAAAAACCAGCAAAGCGCCCTTTGATATCTCTTGTAGCTACGGCCAACAATACTGAACTGGCCTGGAGAAACAGTCCTCCAAATATGGCTAGCATCCACATAACACTATTAAGATATGATTTCCCCTTTAACACTTAATCTTTCCTTGCATATAAAACTGGAAAATGAGGTTATTCTTAAAAAGAATACTATGAATAAGCATTGTCCTATATTAAGTTTCAGATTTTCTTAAGCGGACACTACAAGCTTCACGTGGTTCTTAATAAAGTTCATCAATAAGGCAATAAAGCAATGGCTTAAGGACAACCGGACTGAACTTCATAGACTTCAGGCATCATTTTTCTTTTTCCTGTTATGATGAACACTACTATACATGGACTTTTTCAAATTTGTGCAACCTTTGACTCTACCATTAGTCTTCCAAACTCTACCTTTCTTAACCCATTATTTTCAACAGGGATCTTACACCTCCTATGAGCAAGTATGACGTAAGCTGAACAAAGAACCTTTCCTTTGGTTTACTCATTGGTATATTCTTACCACCAGGAAGAGATTCCCCAATACCAAAGCAAGTATTTGTTGAATGAATGGATATTTTACTTCAATTTTTTCATCAGGGGAGAAGACAGAGTCTTACCAAGTCAATTCTGATGCTCATTGCACAGATACATCTTGAAAATACAAAAGAGGACACTGAACAAAAAAAAATTTTTCAGGACTACGACAGCTTGCTCTCATAATTTCAGAAATAAAGAAAGATGAGAAGGCAAGAGGTAAGGAGAGAGAACAATTTTGAAAAAGTCCTATGTGAAGAAGTACCAGTAAGGATTTCTCCAGCCCCACAGACCCATGAAGACAGAGGAGGAGGAGAGGGAGCACGGGCACCCACCTCTTTTCTCCTGGTGGAACTCCTCCAGAAGCTGCTCCTGCCTCTCGATGTGCTCGAACAGACACAGGAGCTCAGACTCTTTGTGCTCCGTCAGGTCCCGGAGCTCCTGGCGGCAGAGCACCAGCTGCTGCCGCATGGTCTTCTCTCTGCTCTCTCTCTCCTTGAGCTCCTCACAGAGCCACTGAAGCTTGGTCTAAAAGCAAAAGACATTTACATCTACTTAGTAAGAAGCGAACTAAGAGTTCAGAAGACAACAGCCTATCTAGAGAGTCAAGAAAGTAACACTATAATAATCCCAAAAAATAAAGACAAATTAAAACACAACTTGAACCTGTTATTTGTATAAAAGTTTATAGCAGTTCAAGGTTATTTCAGGAATTCAGCTATGAAAGTCAAAGATTTTTATAAAATGCCCAGTGTACTCTGTTACACTAAAATAGTGTTTGGCCAACCATGACAGAGGTGGTAGTCTCTTAACTTGATATGTAGGATAATTCAGCACAGCCATCTAAAAGTTTAAAGAAGACCTCATAATAGAACTTGAACTTCGAGATCGAGTAAAGTGGATGAATACATTCATAGTTAAAATGACTAGAAATACACAGTGTCATACATCCTACAAATAATGGCAGACAGAAAGGGTATAGGCAGGGAGAATAACGTCAACAGCTGCACATCATTAAGTTATAAGTTAGCCCATGCACCGCTTTTGCAAAGACTCTAACCTTGCCCACCTTCAGTACCCAGATGTTTCTAGCAGAATGTGACAGAAATATCTTTTTCTATTTTCATTATAAAATGACTCTGTAAGTGCTGAGACTTCCCAAGATATGCTGTCCAAGCCTAGCTGTCTTTCAACAGAGTCTCAACTGTAGGAAGAAGCAAGCCATGTAAAGCATCTGATGGAAAGGGAGCCAGGCTCACCAAGGGAGAGAGAACTGCTAGGGAGTATATGCAGAAACTGAAGCCCTGAAAGTCTGCTGGTGAAAGTACATGTTATCCGAATTCTGTTCTGGAAAACTATCAAGGTTGCAGAACAGAGTTACCATCTAACCCAGCAATTCTACTAAGTAGAATAGATAACTGACACCCATGAGAAAGCCCCACAGCTACAGTCAAAGGAGCACGTTTACAACAGTCCTGCAAAACCGTAAGGCTCATCAAATGACAAGTGGATGAATAAAATGAGGCCTAGCCAAGCAATCATGTATGATACATCAGCATAAAAAGGCAACCAACATGACACAAAAATGGGTAAACCTTGACAGCACCTTTCTTCTGCCTGAGGAAAGACAATCACAAAAGAGCATGCTAGCATGACCGCATTTATTTCCCATCCATCCACAACAGACGAATCAATAGAAACGAGGTGGTTGAGCAGCACTGGAGGCTGTTGAAAGCTTGGAGGTAACAGTGAAAAGTTCTAGTCTTCTTTCTAGGTGAAAAAGTGTTTTAAACTTGTGCTTTTGGTTATGCAACTCTATAAACATACTAAATACACTAGGCATACCTCAACTGAGCTTGTGTGTGTGTGTGTGTGTGTGTGTGTTTGTGTGTGTGTGTGCGTGCATGTGTGTGCGTGTGCACACAAATGCAAACATGAGCATGTAGGAGGGAGGGGACCACATACACATACATATATGATGTGTATATGAAGGGTAAACACCAATGTCAGCTTCTTCCTCCTCAGCTCTCACTTTACTTCTTGAAAAAATTCCCTCAACAAACCAAGAACTCACTGATGAACTGAGATTAACTGGCCAGCAATCTTAGGGAATCCTTCCATTTCTACTTGCCCAGTGCTAGAATTACAGGTGTATGCCTACTACAGGCCCAGCTTTTTCCATGGCTACTGGGGATCTGAACTCAGGTCCTCATGCTTGCATGGTAATCACTTGAATGACTGAGCAATCTATTATTTAAACAATATCAAAAATCAAAGACATAGAACACTAGCTAGAAAAACAAACTTAAAATTAAGCCCCCCTGAATAAATAAGATGAGGCTCCAAGTCCCTACTATGCAGTCTGTGGACCTGTCTTGTCTGGCCATCATTGAATAAATATAGACATCCCTCAACTTCAACTGAGCTGTGGAATTGAACTGTGACTAAACAAATTTTAAAAACATGCCTTACTTTCTAACATTTCATTGAAAATTTTGATAGATACAAAGTCATTGCCATTGACCACACCAAAGAAGCAGTGGGTGGCAACTAAAGTTCCAGGTGTCAGCCCACCAGAAGAAAACTCTCTGACGGGCCAATCTTGTTTCGGTAAGGCCACGGGACTGTAGACCGAGGAATGGCTTCTGTTTCGCTATGTCTTTTCATGTTTGCTGCAGTTCTCTTTTTCTGATGTGTTCACCCCTTGGAAACATCCCGTCTACTAGGCATTTGTACCTGTAGATTGTCAAGAAGATGAGCCCTCCCCCTCCTGAAGCTATCCTGTCTAATTTGATAAAAAATAATCATAGCTTCTACAGAGTTTTGATGAATAAAATACAAAGATATGTTTCACAGTCGGGGTCTGTGAGTCTCACCTAAGGAGCTGCATGGCCTGTAGCTCAAGTTAGTGACTAACAATTAAGACCCAGTAGCCCAGTTAGTTCAAATTCTTTTAACCTTAATATTGGGAGATGTGTACACAGGTTTTGGAGCACATCACAGCTGAAATGAAACTTGGAAAATAACAAAGTTAGACTAAGATGTTTTGTCAAATAGGTTTGAGGTAAAAAAAAACTCCAAAAGACAACTTAAGTTTTAGAATGACACACAGTTGAATGAATGAGGAACTTGTAAAAGTATGGGAACAAGAACAAAGCAGCCCAATTATTCTTGGCTGCTATAACATTCTTCCTAAGATTGGTTAATGACCAAAGGTGATGATTAAATTAATTCCTTAAAAGCATTTTTGCCCTCAATCTCCTGATATATAAAAAACTACTGATGATTGGGTATGACCCTAAAGATTTAAAGTAGAGCTGACTGATTCTTCTTGATACATGAAGGTTTAGGTTTGTGATTCCTGTAGGACTCCTTCTGAGATTACATTTTAAGATGACTAATAAAGTAATTGGACCTTTCTTTATAACTACAAAATACAGCCTGCCAGTAAAAGACCTGACAAAAACACCTTGCTTGGGTATAAATGTATGAGTTCTTGAAATAATTTGTTTTTCACCTGTGGTATATAAAATGTTTAATCATGTAAGTGATATGGAAACATGCTGCTTTTTACTGTTTGCTTTCTATTCATTGCAACCATTCATGTGAAAAATAGAATGTAACCACAGTGTAATTCCTATATTGCCTAAAAAACTCTGTTGGAGTATATAAGCTGTTTGAAAAAAAGAATACATAGAAAGAATGGAGAAAAAACATAAGAGAACAAAGAATAAAGAAGAAAGCCCTCAAGAGAGTGTGTGAGTGCTTCTCTTCCTAAACCCCCCTCAGATAGAAAAGTCTCCTTTATGCTGATTCTATAGATTACTCTCAAAGCCCTGGAGGCTGGCCCCCCAGACAGCAGTAAGACATGAAAAGTTCAACAAGACAGGAGACAAGGAAACATGTTCAACTCCGTGACAGATAAAAAGAACCATTTCCACGAGCACTGAGGAAGAACACAGAGTTGAGCTGACATCATTATTCTCATTCGACAGAAAAATCATTGCTGCTTAGAAAATATAATCTCCATTCAGAAAGGAGTATATATTGGAGGCTGAAAATCAAGGAGTGGCAATACAGCTGCAAGCAAAAGAAGAACATGGGATGAGTCAAAACCTGCCAATTTCAGATCTGACAGTTCTTTCAAACTCACAGCCAGGGAGAAAGAAGCAGCAATATTGGTGGCTAAGTTTCTAACTCATTCAAGTGTGAAACAAGAACCCAGAAGCAACAAGGTCTTGGACATGAGAACTCAATGTCAGACTGGAAAATGAAGATCTTGAGCCAATGAGACACAGAAGCAAACATGCCTAGGTGCACATAAGGTTATAGAGCTCAGGGGAAGTGGATGAAGATAGAGATATGGCTCAGCAATGGAGGTAGCTGAAGTTCTCAAAACAGATAAAGCTATCCAGTAAGACTGATGAAGAGATAATAAATAGTTCAAGATGTGACAAGTAAGTGCCCCAAAATAAAGCAGGAAAGTGTCCTTTGAAAGACAGGAGGCAATGTCAAAATGACGGTGACAAAGCTCAAAAACCAAAATACAAGATGGAAGTTCTCAAAGTCAAGAACTGTTAAGGAGAAAGGGTAAGGACACTATGCAATTTTAAAAGAGGAATCCTTGACCAAAGTAACTATATCTCACTCCATCTAGCCAAAAAGGGCTGGGAAAAAGTCAGTGTCCCACTATTAATGGTGATTGTTTCTACTAACACAAGGTAGGAAGAAAGGGAGATCGATCAGGACTCAAATTTTATTCTACTCATTTTTGCAGGGTCAAAATATTTAAATTGAAAATGCACTTAAAAGTATTATGTAATAAATGTTACTCTATACAACTACTAACTCTAGATGTACATCAGTTGAAAATGACTCAAATACTAAGTCATGAATTCACCAATGAATTCACAAGAATGCCTACACTGTATCTATATTAAAACCACAACCTGAACTACACATTGACTTCTTTTTGACTTCACAAAATCTTGTTACTGCCTCAAGCAAAGTATCTGAAAAGCTTCCCTGAGCATCAGACCATTCCTGGCATGATGTAGTAGAAGAGAAGATTCAATCTAGTTTTGTGAAAAAGTGGCCTGCGTAGAAGAGTCTTTCCGCTATTTTGTAGTTTAAGCATACATTTTTGTCCTTCTAAGAGATTTAGATCTTTCAGACAGCAAAAATGCTGAATCTTTACCTAAAACCTTCTGCAGAAAGGGCCAGTGTCAACACATTGGCACTAGTATGATGCCATACACTCTGAAGGATCTCACAAATGAAATTAAGTGAAAAGTGAGATGTTTTAAGTTCTAAAATGATACTTCTCATGCATATGTCTATGTACATACATATAATCTTAATGGAGCTATAGTACACTGGTCATGATGCACCACATAAAAGACATGTAAAGCCCCCAGCATCAGGTATAGGAAACCTCCCCTCAAGCTACTGGCTAGAGTAATACAACAGTCTTTCAGAACAGCATGGGCTATTACCGCCACCTTTATTGTCTTTCAGAACTTGAAGGT